AGTTCTTCCCGTCTTTCCTCCTTTCGGTACGAAAATATCACGATACTGCCGAAGAAATTCCCTTAATTTCCTTTTCTCAATCTGATTCAGAGACTGTCCAGCAACTGCAACCATTTGATCAAATTTGTCGTTGGAATTATCAGACGTTGTCGTCTGACGGATTATGGATGTCACAGGTACACAAGTTCCTACTTTTGTCTCTTTCTTGATGGTCACTGGGTAGTCATTGACATTGATAAGTCTAACAGGAATTTCTTTAGCCGAGGTCACCAATTCCTTTCCAATTATGATTCCACGGCCAACTTCGTCGTCATGGTTCCAAGGCTCCATCATAACAGGTGACCCTTCGTCCACAATTCCCTGTAGCCGCGCTACTATGATTGTTTCACTTCTCGCAGGCACGACTGTATCTTCTTTAACGGCTGCTTGCATAGTGTTGTCATCATGTGGATGGAGAAATACCTCCTCGTTACCAACTTTGATTACTTTATTTTTAAAATCCAATTGGAATCCATGCGTATTCATTACGTCCATTCCTAATATAACATCCTCTTCGATGTCAGCAACTATAACAGTATGGACGAACTTTTCTGCTCCAATTCCTAATTGTACCTGGATTTCTCCATGAATGTTAGCATTTTCACCTGTAGCGGTCCGCAGTCGCAACCTCGTTGGTAACAGTTTCTTACGCCTGTTTATAACTGTCGGGCGAATAATGCTTCTGGTCGCTCCCGTATCCACCAACAACGTATGCTTTTTACCATTTATTTCTCCATCTACATATACACTATCTTCACGACATTTCAAAGAAGCTATTAGTATGAGAGGGTCTTTGGAAAAGTTCTGGGTCGAAGCTGCCCCCCTAAGGCCGACCCGTTCTAGTTTTCCTGATGGTGAGTTTCTTGATTTGTGTCGTACCTAGGATGCTTACATGAACTTCGTACGTGTCCTATTTCGCCACAATTCCAGCATCTTATGGTCTTCGTTTTCTTGTATGTCATGCTTTTCATCATATTAACGAGCTGGTCAAGTTTATCTTCATCTTCTTCCTCTTTTACAGTCCTAACTTTACTGTAACCGCCAGAGGCCTGCGTAGCTGACTCGTATTCGAGGGCGGCGGATAAGACATCAACCAGCGTCTTGTGACGAGCTAATCGTAGTGTTCTTTGCATCTCATGATCACGAAGACCATCAATAAACGTTTGAACGGCCAACTTTTCCATCATGTCTTCGGGAGCTGTTGGATAAGCATATCGCACTAATCTGGCAATATCTACTTCATATTCTTGAAGAGCCTCATCTTTCTTTTGTCTTCGATTTTTGAGCTGCGACTGATATACATGCTCTAAGTGTTCGTGGCCATATCGCATATTTAACCTCTTCTTCAGTTGTTCGAAATCATCCGTCTCCTCTACGGCTATGGTCTGGAGCACATCTAAGGCATCTCCTCGAAGAGCTATAGTCAGGTTTACAGCCTTTTCTTTTTCTGACCATCCATTCGCTCTTGCAGCTGATTCGAACTGTTTCATGTAGTTGTTCCATGATGATTTTCCGTCGAAAGTTGGAACTTTAACATGAACAGAAACTCCACATCCTTCAAATTTCGGCCGCGTTTCCAACTTACATTTCGTCTCGTCTTCTTTTATCTCTACCGGATCTAAAGCTACCGTATTAATTGGTGGTAGCACTCTCGTGTTAGTTATCATGGTCTCTAACTGTTTGATTTTCTCTTCAACTTTATCAAATGTTTTAGAGACTTCTTCAAACTTCTCACTATTCTGAATACATATTTCTTTAATTATTTGAGAAGTCTCGTCAAATCTTCTAGCAACATTTTCAAATTTCTCGTCATTTTGTCTAGCTACTTCTTTAATAATTTGAGACGTTTCATTGAATGTTTTGGAAACATTCTCATCATTTTTTCTAGAACTCTCTTCGATCATTTGTGAGACATTCTCAAATTTTCCATCGATTATTTTAGTTAAAACGGCTTCTTCTGCTGACTGGAACTGGAATGTCTCTGGGTCGTCTCCATTCTTGTTGAGAACAGTCTTCAGTCGTTCTTGGAGGATCTTCTTGGACCCGCTGCAGTCTTCATCGCGTTCTTCTAGTTGCTCACGCAACTGTTTCACTGAAAGTTCTACTAGCAGCATCTTTGGTCAGGCACACACGTACTTTTTAAATGTTCTTTCGTACAACGATCACTACTGAACTACGCGGATGTTCCCGACGAACAATACCTTTCAAAAGTTCAAAAGTCTTTTTCAAAAATCAAATTAAATTTATCTACGATCCCACTTCTGCACCACTGCGACGTTTATATAGTTCTAATTTATTTGTCTTTATTCTAATTTATTGTCTATATTCTAATTTATTAAAACTCACGATAACTAATTACGAATTTATTAAAGTCTTTATTAATTCTAATTTATATTACAAATAATAATTTATGTTTCGTTACATTTAAATATCGCGGTTGCCGAGCTTCTTATGACTGACTGCCAAATAAAAATCTTTCATTTATATACACAACTGTGTCATCTAGAGAATTCGGCGGACTTCCTGAATAGTCTCGTATTTTGGTGAAGGCGCTCGACTCGTTTTTCAACCTCGAGACGTGGATGACTCACTAAAATTAGTGTCTAGAGATTTCTGGTAAACAACTGGTAGCTAAGCTCAGGTATATTTTGACCTACAAATTACGAGAATCAATAAAAAAGAATTAGTCATAAAATATTTACAGTTCTATATGCCATAACATTTAAAATCGTAACATTATCTTTGTTTAATTCTTTTGTTAGTTCTATTCAGTTAATTAGTTAGTTATATTTTAAATTTTATTATTATGGATAGTCAAAGTTTTCCATTTATTCCATCAGCTAATGCGTTGGTAAGTTTTTCTTAATAAATATGATAAAATGTTTTTTTTTAAGTTAAAATCTCTTCCTAGATTACAAGGTAATAAAACTCCACAAAGGTTTATTCAAAATGCCTACCATTTTTTTACCGAATGAAAACCCTGTTGAGGTAAGTTGATCATTAAAATGTATTTATCGAATTATGTAAATGTTGTAAATACATAAGGAACTTGCTGTGTCTTATTCTTATTTAACCTCACTTTGACTTAAACATTTTGTAGAATTTATTCCCACTTTTTTATTTTGTACAATAAATAATTTTATTATTTGTTATCAATACATTATACGGTGTATATAAATAAATATTGATTGTCGGCAAAGTTCTATTTTATTTACTTTTGTTTACATTAATATTGACTAAGAGCACGTATGCTTGGTTGTATAGTATTTTCCAGTCACTTCGAGTCTGTCAAAAAGTTACTAACTTCGAAAAAAAATAATTACTAAAATCACTAGACAGTTCGGACTGGGAATAGCGAACCGGGTATAACTGTCAATACGACTCAATAGTTACAAGGATCTACAGACCGAGAATTTGGTATACAAATTCCACGGCTTCGCGCAATCGTACTTGTAAGTTCGTGAATTAGTTGACTGGAGTTACAATTTGCCAAATTTAAATGTAATCGTTTCTACTCATTCATATTAATATTATAATGTATAATATATTAAAGTTTTTAATATTGGTAATATTATTCATATTAATATTATAATATATTAAAGTTTTTAATATTGGTAATATTATTCATATTAATATTATAATGTATTAATTATCACTGCTTAGCGTATTTTCATGGAAATCAACCGCTGTGCTGACTAGTATTTTTTTAAATTGTGATGAATAAATATATTAAATAAAGGGTATTTTAAATAAATTTGTAATATTTTATGCGAAAAGAAGAAAAGACTCAGTTCCGAGTCGTGAGCGTATTCCTTATATTTTCTTTAATTGTGTTAAGCTACTCGGATGTGAGTCGTTGTTATAATTATTCAAAAAAATTAATTTACAATATTTTTTATTAAATCAAATGAGAAATATTATAGCAAATTAAGAACTAAGGAAACAAAAACAAATTTTCATTTCCTAGCAAATTGTTTCTGAACACTTAAGATTAAAACTTCCAAATAAAATTTGGATAATATTGTAAAGTCTTTTATACACTGAAATTAAATTAAAAAAGAACATGAAAAAAGTGGAAAAATAATAAAACATTCCCAAATTTAAATATATCTCGAAAACAAAATACGATCTGGAAAAAGAATACCGGAAATGTTTAATTTTTTTGAGCTCTTCGATTGTGTAGTACCTTCAATTTCAGTTTTTTTCAACAATACTCAAGTATTCCGATTTATTATTCTCAGCCTTATATAAATTTCCAAGAAATTAATATCGGATGAAGTTTCAACAAACGAAATGAAAATCCTAATATTAAAACAGCATTATGACCAGGTACAATATCTGACTGTTATGCAAATTAGTAGGTAATTAGAAAGTCAGTATGGACAAAACCAGCTTATTCAAATTATAGGTACCTACCTTTAGTCTTGTATTGAAGAATTTTAATTTATTACCCTTAGCATACGTAAAGATATAAAAAAACGAGTTATTTATCTCGTACTTATTTTAAGCAAGGCGCAATATTTAATTAGTTAATATTATTATTAATATTAAAAAATAGTATTAAAAGCTTTAATAATATTACCAATATTAAAAACTTTAATATATTATACATTATAATATTAATATGAATGAGTAGAAACGATTAAACATTTAAATTTGGCAAATTGTAACTCTCGTCGACTTCACGAACTTACAAGTGCGATTGCGCGAAGCCGTGGAATTCGTATACCAAAATCTCGGTCTGTAGATCCTTGTTCAATAGTTTGTTTGCCCTCCAGGCACCATATTGGATTTAATTTGACAGCTCGTTGGACTGCCCTATCACAGAATACTAATCACAACATTAGTGTTCTGTGACCAAACCTAACCTTCTTACCTACGGACAAAACTAACCTACAATCTGTTTTGGGGAGGAGGTTATATGGGAATCGGAATGTTATTTTATAAATATTAAGTTAAAGATGGGTAAAAATCACAGGCATAAAAAAAACTTGAAAGCTGATAAGGCTAAAGTACATCTGAAACAAAGCAAAACAAAATTTTTACCAAAAGGTTTAAATGAAACCAAAACAGTCTTTAAAATAAAACCAATTGTACTTCCCCAACAGTTGGTAGAGAAAAGTACAGATGCTCCTTTAAGTAAGAGAAATTTAGATGTTAAAGATTTGTGCAGCAGGTTAAGCCATTACAATGAAAATGTTCGATATACGGCATGTGAAGAATTAGCAAAGATGTTCAAACAATTTTCGGAGGAAATTATGAAGAGTAATATGTCCGAAATTATACTAAAAATATGTAGTTTAATGACTGATATGGTAAAAAAGGTGAGAATTGCTACAGTGAAAGTAATTACAGTTATATTAGAAGTGATTCCCTCTGAAAAATTAGAACCTTTCTTTAAATATTTTTCTACTAACATGTGCTGTGCCATGACAAGTATTCATCAAGATATTCAAGAAGATTCTCTTAAATTTTTAGATTGTTTTTTAGCGAAAGATTGTGGATTTATCTCAAAAACATCAGAAAAACTACTACCAGATTTTTTCAGATTAATTTCAAAATTAAGAAGTGAAAAAAATATAGGACAGGTATTAACATTGAATTTGGGAAGTAAGATGACTACTTCTACATGGAGGATTAATGTTTTAAGTAGATTAAATTTGATATTTGAATTAATTTTAAATAACCAGCCAGCAAAAGAACAAGAATGTATTTACAGTAATGCTGAGGAGTGCAATACATTTCCAATATATAAAGTTAGCTTCTGTGAGGCACTCAATAATCCAGATTGGTCAAATTCATACAATTCAGGAAGTATTTTCGATAGTTATCTCCCAGATTTAATTCCCATTTTTTATGAAATCTGGATGGAAGTTTCACCACAAAATAATATTAAAAAAACTATTTATGAAAGTACATATTTGAAAGATGAAGCTGCTGCAATTTTTAATTATATTGTAAATTCTACATATTTATTGTGGAAGTATGTACAACAAAAACATGCACATTTGAAGGACATTTTTGTTTCTAAAGAAGCAACCATGTTTTTGAATAACTTGTTAGCAAGTTTTCCTTATGATAGAAGTGACAAAAATTTACAATTAAAAAGAGTTAAGTCAAATACTGGTAAACATATAGATCCAAATTGTGTTAAAGAAAACTTAATCATTTGTTACATATATTTTGTTTTGAATGCAACATTTAAGAGGAATTCGGCTAAAGTAGAGTTGGAAAGTATTGCAGCATTTCTTAATAAATGTTTACAGACAAAAAATTATATAAACAAAACAAACATTGAACATTTCCTTGATTTTATATCAATTTGTCTGGGTGAGTATTGCTCAGTATGGAAAAAATCAAATGTAGATGCTCGTAAACTTTTAGAAAATGTGATAAATTTTACACACAGCACAGAAATTACCGAGACTAGTAGGATAAAAATGATTAGTATACTAGCAGACTTTGTAGACAATCCATATCTTTCAAAATCTAGTGGGTATCAAGCTTGGTTGTCATTTCTACCAAAACTATTGCTTAAGCCAAAAATAACAGATATAGAAATTGAAATTCTACTTTTGCTAGCTAGAAAAGGTAATGTACCTTTTCTGACAGGACTGCAGACTAACATGATTCCTATATTAGAAAATTTGCCTTCTCTTGAATATTCTGTACAAAAGAAATGTTATATAGATTCTAACATAGATGTATTAAGTACTCTAAAGTGGCAGACTGCTTTTTTATTCTATTACATGAAAGATATAACTTGTCCAGAGTTGTACAATCTGCTAAAACATTTGTCTTCTTTTATCCCTAAAAACGAATGTAATATAATTAAAGAGCAACTAAATAGGTGTAAGGGAAACTGCAATTTATAATTTTTTTTATTTACTTTGTAGTGAATATTACTGTTCCAGGCAAGATTATACTTTTACTGTAGCTGCAAAAACTAATACACATTTTTTTTAATTGAGTTCAAAACTGAATAATTTTCTTGAACTCAGATAGGCCAGTAAAATATGTTCTGAACTGCCTCAACTAGTTAAAAAGGCAATAAAATCCCCTTTGTGTAATTCTTAAATCATGAATGGATGAAAATACAATGGGGTCATAAAAATAATACAGTATTTTCACACATTTTGATTTATAAATTTTTGCAGGGGCAGTATTGATATGTATATTTAATATTACAAAATTTGTATAGATAAATAAGTGTTTTGTTATTTACTAGAGATTGTTATTTTTGTAATAAAGTACATGTTTAAAAAGGCAATTTGTTAAAAAGTTAATCCCAGAAAAATAATTGTTTTAATTGAATCAGTTAGTGGTGGAAAAATGATATAACCCCAAAATCATGCATTTCACCCGAAAAAACTGTTTATTTTAAAAAGTATACATTACACAAGAAATATTTACATTGCAAGCTTGAAGATAATCAAATTCTTTAAACGAATGTAAAGAAAACATTTATTTTTGTTTTTTAATAAACGACGTGCGCCCAAACGTCACTTGGAGTTATACCGTTTTTCCACTCAACATTAAAAATGCGTTAAAATATTTGCGTTATTAATAAAATAAAACAACAAATTTGAATAACGTGTATTATTTATAAGATATTTGGCCATATAAATTTTTATAATATAAAAGCATTATCATGTTTCAAAGGACCTAAAAGAAATGGTATTTATTGGTCTTCCTGAGTCGCCTCAGCGTCAACATTGGTTCTTTCCCATGACATAATGTGATAATAAAATTACAAACTTCTCCTGTCTTGTATAGCATTACATTTTTAAGATTATCAATTTTTTTTATATTGATTGGTAATGTTTTAGTTTATGCAGGATTGGTTGGTAATATTTGGATTGCTTTAGGTTTGACTAACTTGAAACTGCTTGTGATGAATCCGCTAACATAATTGCTAGTTGTGATGTACCCTGGTGTAGAACTATCATAAGTAAATTGCCTTTAATGTGACATTGTAAATTTATCTTTTGTTCTATCGGAAGACTGGGTGATTTTTTGTAGTGGTTCGGCCAATAATTTTTGTCTATGACATATTGTTGAAATCGTAAACGGGTTTAATTTGCGACAGCATCATCTTTTCATAATCTACTGGAAGATATATTCTATCATATTTTCTTACCACTCTCTTCAAAGTTCCAAAGTCCCTATTACATGGCAAAAAAGAGTGACCACGCAATGGGAAGTAGTGAAAAATTCTATGTAGTTATATGCATATTGTGAACCCATATAACCACAACTGTCTGTAATAAAACATTTCTTGAACAGGCAAGGGCATATTTTGAATATGCCCTTATTGAATAATAAGGCCTAATATAGTCAAAAACTATTCCGCCAACATCTTCTCTTTCATGGCACAAGGTAGAGATTTCCTTAAGTTTTAAGTAAAAATTGTTAGCTCTTCGTTTATGGACTACTAATTCACATACAGCAGTAACTCTCTTTGCGTTTTCGTTTAAATTCACATCTTTAAGTTTTTTGCCTAACTCTTCGCATTGTCCGCAAATATAAACTTGATGCCGTCCAAATTTCAATACAAAATTGTCTTTAAAATTTTTTAAATAAAATTCATATTTTACTGCTCTTGCTAAGTCTGAGTGTAGTTTTATAAACAGATTATACATAATCTTAACGTTTAAGGTAGAATCAAGATAGGTGATGACTTTTGAACTGTAGTGAGATGTTTTTTTAGGAAACAATTCAATATGTTGATAAATTTTTATTATGTTTGCCACGTAGATTTCTAGGAGAACTTTGAGAAACAAACAATCTATTTAGCCGTTGTAGTCTAGAGTTCGAGATCGAATGCAGATTAAGAAAAGTTGTTTTACACACGTGATGCCTTTCCAAAGTATTTCGTATGTGATATGAAAACGTGACTTCTCGGGGTTTTTCCTCAAGCTTCTTTCTTTGGTCGCTTCCTAGTTAAATGCCTACATTTCATTAATCCTTGCAAATAGACATCTTGTCCGTCTTTTGAACCTTTCTCATATAAAGTCTTTAAAACAGCACTTTTTTCATCTATCGAAAGCTTTGACATCCATTCATTTTTACACCTGAAAAAAAAGTTGAGGTATAGTAGACTAACTTTAAATAATTGGGGTTCAATTAAATACATGCTGGCATATATAGAAGTTTTTTTGTTATATTGGTATAACTTTTGGATGTGTTTATGAAACCAAACCTTCTGCCCGATAATAAGAATAAACATAAGCTTAGGAATATTTACATTTTCTGTCGAATGTCAAAAGTACTTCTGTGCTTTCCCCTCTTTTATTTAACATTTATTCGGAAGCCATATTTCAAGAGTCTTTGGAGGATGCAGAGATGGGAATCAAGGTGAATGGAGTATTGATCAACAACATACGATATGCTGATGATGGTGTCTTAATTTGTGACAACATAGTCGATCTTCAACAACTTGTCACTATAATCGGAGAATACAGTAAGCGAATGGGATTAGACATTAATACCAAAAAGACCAAATTTATGATCATCTCCAGAAACTTAGATGCACTTGAAAACTCCACCATAACACTGAATACTAAGTCCATTGAAAGAGTGAGTAAATTTAAATACCTGGGATCGTGGCTTTTTGAAGACTGGGCATCGGACAGGGAAGTAAAATGTCGCATTGAGCAAGCTCGACAAGCTTTCGTAAAATTCAAGAAAGTACTGACTTGTTCAGAGTTTGATCTTCAACTGAGACTAAGGTTTACTAAGTGCTACGTATGGTCAGTGCTGCTATATGGCGTAGAGGGCTGGACACTCAAAACGAGGGATATAAACAGATTAGAAGCTTTCGAAATGTGGCTTTATCGCCGTATCCTAAAAATACCATGGACAGCAAAAATCACAAATATAGATGTCCTTAAAAGAATAAACCAAGAACACCAACTTTTCGAAACCATCAAGAAAAGGAAAACGACGTATCTAGGTCACATCATGCGAAATGAAAAATACCAGTTCCTCCAACTTATAATCGAGGGTAAAATTGAAGGCAAGAGAGGAATGGGACGCAAGAAAATGTCCTGGCTCCGAAACATAAGGCAATGGACAGGGATTAACGACATACAATCTCTGATACATATTGCAAGAAATAGAGAATTAATGGAAAATGTGATCGCTAACATCCATTAATGGATTTGCATCTGAAGAAGAAGTCAAAAGTACCCGAATTTAAAGTATTTTTTCTCTACAAACCATTATTATTAAAAAATAATATACTTACGTACAGTCTGTTTTGACGGCCATTTTGTTAACTACTTTTCCAGTTGCAGTTGTTTAATTAAAGTCCAAGAAGACGGGCATTCTTTCTTTCATTTTTCTTCCAAGTTTCTGGACACCTTCTTTTCCTCTCATTGTGTAGTCCCTCTGATAAAACCTTAAATTATCACAAGCTGCTTACAACTGCTGCAAGTAGAAGAACAATATATAAGTGGGAGTTGTATCGTTATTCCACTCAATGTCAAATTATACCTCGCTTTTAAAGCGTGTACTTAACGAATATTATAGGTACTGTCCTTCAACTCAGCAGATAGATCGATAGTTAAAAAGCAATTTGGCTATCTTCACTTGAAATGTCAATTTTTGGAGTTATATCGTTTTTTTACTCGTACTTTTTGTGTCTAATACATAAAGTCTTGAAATGAACAGAAATATATGAAGTAATAAAATAAGACTAGTCTGAGATTACATATAATTGATCATATCATACAATTTAGAAAGGGGAACTAAACAAAATTCATTATAGCATTTGGAAGGAAAACTGACTTTCATATATACAATAACAACAATGTCTGCTGATACATTAACTCGATTCTTAACAAACACAGTCTACACATCTGTGTATTACTATTATTCATTTTAACTTAGATTTGCTGCAAAAGTCCTTGGAGTTCACTAACAACACTGGCAAAAGCTCTGTGCTTGATGGTGGAATGGACTGTATCTGCTGGTAATATGTTCTTCACATTATCGTGGAAGAATAAACTTTGTGGTAATACACAAATACTATACTGGCGTTTTTAGTATCTCTTAAATGGCACCACAGCCCAATATCTTTTAGCATTTGTTTTCACTTCATCTATAGGTATATTATATGGGATTACAGACATTTTTCTGATAACATGTTCCATATATCTGGTGGTGAATTGGCAAACAGGCCAGGCCATAGGATACTTCAAAAGTTATTAATTATTAACAAATTTTTTCGTAGAGGACTGAAATCTGTATTTAAACAAATGTTAAAATTATTCTACGAATTAAACAGATTCCAACATTTTGCAAAAAATACAATACCTACATTATGAGTGACCCATCCTATATGCTTCTGTCTCTGTACGGAAAACAACTTAATATCCAAAAATGTTTTTTTCATAGAAATATACGGGGCCAATAATACTAAAATTTAAAAATAATGTGAGTTATACAGGGTGCTTTAAAAAAGAGTATATCAAAGTTATATTTTTTCTTACGGAACACTCCATATTTGATGACATTTTTAAATTGTCATACATTTGGAGTGGCCCATCATATACGCTCCTTTCTCTGTACGGAAAATGACTTAATATCCAATTTTTTTTCTTTATGGAAATATATACAGGCCAATAACACTACAATTTAAAAATATTGTGGATTCACAGGGTTCTCCAAAAAAGGGTACCTATATTAAAGTTATATTTTTCTTGAGGAGCATCCTTTATTTGATGACTTTTTTAAATTATCCTTAAAAAATAAGCTATGTTTTTATAAGGAATCCCTAGACCTAAATAACAGAGTATTTTAGATTTTCCTAAAAAATGAAAGTTTTAGAAAAAATTAAATATCTTCGAATTTAAAATCGGAGACAAATTTTTTCTTCAATCTTAATAATCAACTACGATTTTTGAAATGTCAAAATATTAGATTATTCTATCAGAAAATTAAAGCTGTAATAACGTGTTTTTTTTTCTTTTTTTTTTATTGAGTTTAATGCGTCGACAACTAATGTTCATTGGCATGGTACAGTGAATTTTTACAGTCAGGTACCTAGTGTAGTGTGGGTGTGTGTGTGTAGAGTAATTATCTTGATACTTAGCAAAGTCGACGTCATTGTCTTTGCTAATCAATGCATCGTCATTGTCGATGCTAATTGTATCCGAACGTCTGCGGTCCCTCCGATGAGTACCGATCGCACAAGGATAGAAATTATTTTCATTCATTAATTTTTAATAAACGAAAATTTCTCCACCCAGGTGAGATTCGAACTCACGACCTTTAGGTTCAAAGGTAGGCGCTCTTACCACTGAGCCCTATATTATTAGCCCGTCGTGTGAAAAGTTTACTTAGCTTTTTTTTATAGCACCCTATATTGTGTTACAGCTAACAAATAAGGAAATCTTTAAATACCTATTTTAAAAATGAAGGGAGATAGGTATAGAAAACCCTCATTTAGATTGAAAGCTAGACTTAGTAACTAAAGCAAAAAATATTTCCTGGGAAAGTAAATGCGAAGAACTCAACAAATATATAGGGTCAACAAGATCAAGAGAAGCATGGAAAACGGTAAAAAATCTGAGAACAAACAGAAAAGAAACGAGTAGAATAGATTTAATAGAAGAAAAATCTTGGATAGAACACTACTCACAACTTTTGACTGAAACAAGACCTCAATTCACGAACATCAGTACAACAACATATGAACTGGAATTCAGTGAAGACGATGAAATAACAGTACAGGAAGTCGAGAATGCAATACGAACTCTAAAAAATGGGAAGTCATGCGGACCACAAAGTATATAAAATGAATTATTAAAACATAGCCCACAAGTATTACGGGAATTACTGGCGTATGTCCCACCTTATTTTATAATGGACACGACTTACCACCGGAGTGGACAAAAGCACATATTAACAACATATACAAAAAAGGAGATAGAAAGAATTGTTCAAACTATAGGGAGCTAAGTGTCATAAATTCACTCTCAATACTGTATGGAAAAATAATAAAAAATAAAATTGAAAAAGAGATGACAGATGTAGAAGAACAGAATGGCTTTCGTGCAGGCAGATCCTGCATGGACAGTATATTCTCTCTAAAGCAAGTTATCGAGAAAAGATTAGCCCATAACCTTTCAACTCATATAGTCTTTATAGATCTCACAAAGGCATACGATAGTGTACCACTTTCAATACTTTGGGTAGCAATGGAAAAACAAGGAATAAGCAAGAAAAATATACAAGCAGTACAACAACTCTACAAAAATATGACGGCAAAGTTAGTAAGGGCCTAAAGCAAGGCTGCTGCATAGCACCTACACTCTTCAAAATATATCTAAATGAGGCACTCTCAATGTGGAGAAGAAAGTGCTGCAATATGGGCATCCCAATCGGAGATGATAGATTGTACACGATACATTTCGCTGACGACCAAGCCATTCTAGCTGAAGACGAGAGTGATATAAACATGCTTAGAAAACTGGAAGATGAGTACACCAAATGGGGCCTCACAATTAATATACAAAAAACTGAGTACTTAGTTGTAGGAGAAAAACCAGAAAGCCTACAAATCGAAATGGGAACTATAAAACCGACAGACAATTTTAAGTACTTGGGAGTTCAAATAACATCAAAAGCAGGAAGTAGCGAAGAAATACATTCCAGGATTGCCCAAGCAAGATCAGCCACCAGACAGCTACACGGACTATTATGGAATAAAAAAATAACAAAAGAAAATAGAAAAATTTATAAAACAATAATAGAAAGTATTGGACTGTACGGCGCCGAACTCTGGGAAATAAACCAAAGAAACAAATCAAAAATTAAGGCCATGGAAATGAACTAGGTACTGGAGACGATGTTGCCAGCTCACTAGACTTGATAGGGTGAGAAACGAAGATATTCGGAGAGAAATGGAAATCGATCTAGACATAATAGACACAATCGAAGCCAAAAGACTTAACTGGTATGGACACCTTCAGAGAATGCCGAAAAATAGATGGCCAAAAAAAATAGAAGAATGGACTCCGCCAACTAGAAGAAAACGAGGTAGACCAAGACGATCCTGGAGAGACGATGTCGACGATGCAATGACCGCCAGAGATCTAACAACTGAAGATTGCTTCGACAGAAAACGCTGGAAATTAGGATGCGAGAAGCGGCGCCAGCTGTAGAAGACTCGCTTGTTATATTATATAGCTAAATTAATTTTCCACAGTACAGACTAATAAAATACAGGGTGTTTATTATTAAATAAGTACGTAAATAAGTAAATTCGTAGATATTTAATTTTTTCTAAAACCTTATATTTTTATAAAAATCGAAATAAATCAAAACACTCTGTATTGAAGTATAGCGAATCATAAAAGTAAGGAAAATTAAAAAATATCATTAAATATAGGGTGTTCAATAAAAAAAATATAACTTTGATATACCACTCTTTTTTTGAGCATCTTGTATAATTCACATTATTTTTAAATTGTAGCGTTATTGGCCCTGTATATTTCTGTGAAGAAAAAAATTTGGATATTTAATTGTTTTCTATACAGAAACCGAGACGTATACGGATGGGCCACCCCAAATGTATTGTATTTTTTGCAAAATGATGAAATGTAGAACAATTTTAACAGTTTCTTTTTCAATACAGATTTTAGTTCTCTTAAATAGTTTCTTATAATATTTGATGTAAAATAATTAGGTAAGCAGGAATTCAGCAGTTTATAATTTCCCATTGAGTTTCCTACGGCCCAAGGTTAATACTATTCCAAGAATTAATATTAAACTCAACGGGCTTTCGGGTTGAACCGCGGCGATTATCATTGAGCCGACCTTTTAGAAAGAGTTCCTAGAAAGACCAGTTTTGCGCTTCTCCGTAAATATAAATCCGTACATAGGGTTTCCTCTATTTCTCTGTCTCACATTTCCCGATTTATGCCTTCTTTCCAACTGAGGCGAGGTCTTCCTCTTTTCCTTCTACCATGAGGTTGCCATGTTAGGTTTTGGATTGCCTGTGTTTTGTAAGTCGTTGGAAGATTACCATTATTGAACAGCTAAGCCAGATAAGCAGTGAATTTGGACTTCAGATCAACACCGGAAAAACAAAAATAATGATCGTGGACAGAGCAAATAATAATCTACCGCACATACATTAAGTGGAAAATTTCAATGTGGTAGATAGATTTATATACTCGGGCTCTCTGATAACCAACAATGGCGATTGCTCTTCAGAAATCAAGCATATACTAGCAATGGCCCAATCCACAACAGCTAAACTGATTAAAATATGGAAAAAACAAACATTAACAAGGCATACTTAGCTCAGTTTGGTTAATGTCCTTATTTTTCCCATTTCTACAAATGCAGCTGAAACATGGACTCTCAAAAAAATATATGCTATAGAAGAATTCTACGCATTCCTGCACAGAACATAGAACCAACTTGTCAATTCTGAAAGAGCTTCATATAAAGGATAGGCTATTAAAAAAAAGTAAACCGAGCATACCTAATTTACTTCAGCCACATAGCTAGAAGATCAGGGACCATGGAACTATTGGTAGTAGACAGAAAGGTAGAACGCTGAAGACCAAGAGGAAGATCTCCAATACGATGGACAGACCAAATGAAGACTCTGAAGGGAAAATCTACATAAAGCCATCCATAAGGCACAGGATCGCAGCCAATGGAAAGAGCCTAATAATATTTAGAGTGCCACCACACCCTGACAAGGACTCAAGGAATGAGGAGGAAGAAGGTTGTACTTAACAGTATGACATATATGAATCAAAATGAATGAATCAATTCACATAAAACTATGATCATATTTTGACTGATTTTGCTCAGAAAAACTAAACGAATATACATAAAATATAATACATATTTTTATTAAGAAAATTTCCATATTTCACTAGCTCTTTGAGTTTTTTTGGCAAGCCATTTGTTGTTATAATTGGTCATACTGTAGCCAATTGGTGTACTGTACATCTTCCATTCATGTAACCTGGCTCAGGTTTTAGTGTTAATGTCTACTAATGTAGCTGGGGACAAATGATTTTATCTGCTCTCCGAAGCATAGAGATGACTCAGTCACCACCATGCATCAGCCACCAAAATAAATCTAACTACATGTAGAGAAATAAGAGATCTATAGTTCCATGGCAAAAGTAATATGCTTACATAAATTACTTTTTGGAGGTAGCAAAACTGTTTTACTTTACCAGACTTCTAACTTTAAATAATGTTACTAAAAAACATATCAGGTAAAAACATATTTTATCAAAAAAACATGATGTGTACAGCCAGTTACAATTTTCCATTTCAATTGTCTATCTAAGCACTGTTTTACAATTTTTTTAATTATAATTATTGAGATTTTTAGTTATTTTCTATACATTACGTTTTGAAACATATGTGCTTGAAAATATGCAAAAAAACATTTTTTAATAAAAAAATATATTTAAATTAAACAGTATATACTTAAATTATACATCATTTATAGGTAAAACTAATGCTATAATTGTTCAAGTTCTGGTGGAATGCTAATCTTATTTGTCACTGCAAACCTTTTCAGAGCTTCATACCTATCTTTGATTTCATTCATTTCATTTCTATATGAAACCACATCATCTTGCATATTCTCCATGTCCTTCCATTCCTGTGTCTTCTCTGTTTCCAGTTCATCTTTTTGTTCAATCCTTTTTATTCTACATGATGCTGCATATCCTCGGTTTTTTAATGTTCTTCGCCTTTGTTTCATGCGCACAATTTCTTCTCTAGAAAGGCCTCTTAGTTTTAATTGCCTATTGAGATCTCTAACAGAGATAGTTACTAATTCATCATCAGATATATCAACAATTGGTGGTGGTGAAAGAGGGGCCTAAAAATATAAGCATTATAATAATTGCTTTTATTTTTGAAATCATATTACTACATTTACGTTACTCCCTCATACAAATGTCCACCATTGCATTATCTCTTCTATTCACATTTATATTACTATTTAATAATTTTCATACGATAATTCTCTACTTAACTATATGGAGATAAGGTTAATAACATTCTTTGGCATACTTACAAGTTTTCCTGCTTTCTTGGGATGGTCTGAAGACATTTTTCCTGTGTTTTCTAAAATCTTATCTAAATTCGAGCAAGAGCGTAACTACGTCTTTATTCTTTTTCTGCAAGTCATGCTTAAACCATTATATACTTAATTATTGTTTGAAAGGTTTGGTCGGAACTGAAATTATATTTAAAGATAATTATTCACTAATATTTGCTTTTATAAAATACCACTAAGTAAGAAAACTCCTGAGATTATTTTGGTTATTTGATTTGCACTGACAGTTTTTTATTTATATTTATTCCCAATAAATTCATCCAGACCTCCGCCTATGTATAATGTGTAAATAAGATTCACGTAATTGTGAAAGAAGAATATAACATAACCTATGATTATAAACTGTTAATAACAAATATTTGATAAATATCTCAAAAATATACAGAAAACAGAAATGAAAGTAACTATCACAAATTGGAAAGGTGTAGCTACTTGGAGATGGGTGGCGAACGACGATAACTGCGGAATATGTAGAATGCCGTTCGACGGGTGTTGTCCAGATTGTAAGTTACCTGGAGATGACTGTCCCCTTGTGTGGGGCCAATGTTCACATTGTTTTCACATGCATTGTATAGTCAAATGGTTGCAATCTCAACCAGTTAATCAGCAGTGTCCAATGTGCAGACAGGAATGGAAGTTTAACAATAAATGAACTGTAGTGCAAATTTTTCATTAATGCTGTGTGATAATTCATTTGATGTGTATATATTTGCATCGATATGTAAAACATTGTGTATTTTAGTGTATACTAAAGACTAACTAATCAGATATTGTATGATTTTCTTATAAAAGTAAAAAGTATGAATTAAAATATATTTTTTTATAACTTTTGTATTATGTTATATTATTTATCACACCATCAAGTTGTTTTATAACTTAATGGTATAATATGGGAAGAGTAGCTGTTATATTATTTGTTACCTAAAAAGTAAGGAGAATCAGAGTCAACAATTGATTATATATTTTATTTCTTTTAGCTTCAACATTTGTATAAAAGTTTGTACTTAATAAAACGTAAAACAGTCAATAACAATACTTAATTTGTTAGTAATTGTATTAATTTTGAAACAACCCTAACATTGATGCTATTACCTAAAACCATATACTTTTTCCTATCACCAATTGTGGGTGGAAAATAAAACTCATCTGGAAAACACATCAACCTGCATATTTCACGAGGAGTAAAAAACCTTAAACCCAATGATTTTAACAAATTTAGTTTTGAATTGTTGCTTAATTCAGTTGTTTTTATTTTGTTAAACACTTCCACCACTTCTTTCTCTGGCTTATCTGTGAACACACTTCCTGTGCCTTCTATAAACCTGCTGTAAGCTTTTGTGAAACAACAAGATCTTTTAGAATGTTTGTAGCAGATGTCAATTATATTTGAATATTTTATTAGTATACTATCTGAAAGATAGTATTTTGGATCAACATTTTCTTCCAAAATGTGTTCTATGCTAAAACATTCCTGTCTTTCACAATGATCAGGAAATGAATCCAACTAGAAGAATTAATATTAAGAATTAGTACAGAAGTTAATAAAAACTTCTCAGATTAGCTAATGAAATATCTAAAAATGTAAGCATTGTATTTAAACAAAATCTAGAAACCTACCAAATGCCCAACTTCAAATGAAAATCTTGCATATTTTCTAGCTAAGCAATAATATCTGTTTCTCGAATTTGGAACTCCTATTTGATGGGGGCTTACTATAAACTCCTGATAGTTATAATCATTTTCTGATAAAACTTTTACCAGCATATCCCTCATCTCTGAGTTTTCAAACCCCTTAACATTTTCTACGAGTAAATATTTTATATTTAACTCAGGAAATATGTTTAATAGGTGAATAAATGACGCTGTTCTTGGATCTTTTATGTCGTTTTGTAAACCATTTCTGGTAAAAGGCTGACATGGAGGTGACATCAATATTGTATCTACATTTAATTTCTTTATATCTTCTACTGTTATTCCTTCAATATTTGCATTCCACAAGTATGTTTCTGGGAAATTTAATTTATAAATTTCGTTAGCTATATTGTTTATTTCAATAGATGCCACAATATTTCCTTTAACACCACTATCTATAAAATAAAAGAAACTAGTATTGATAGGATATTTTAAATATATTTTTTGTACCTTTCAAAGCTAAGTGCATACCACCTATACCACTGTAAAGTTCTAAAACGTTCATATTTATTAAATTACTTACAAGTTTACATCTATTAAACTAAAATAAACTGTAAACAAACAATAAAATTATTTGTAGTCTACTACAAAAATGTAGATTTTAGTTTTAGGTTAGGTTAGATATATCTAAACATAAAATTATGCTCAATTTTAAGGTGGCTGAAGAAATATAGAAATATTCAATTACTCATTAGCATGGTCGTCTATATTTGAACGGGGGCTATGTCATTAGCATCATTAGACAAGAAAAAGGGGTAGTCTAAATCATAGACTTAAAATACAAATATTTAAAGTCTATGAATATTTTATATAATATAAATGGTCTAAACTTGTAGAAGAACTGTAGTTTTATTTAACTGTTTGAGACCACATTGATATTTAGGAGACAACCTTCGTTCAATACAATATTACAAAAATCTGTACTACAAACTATAATGCACTATGTTTTTTTCTGAAATTTAAAATATTCATGAGGAAAACACTCAAAAACTTTCAAAATAATGGTAATTAACGATGGTTGGTTATGCAATATGGTGATGGTCCATTTTTCTAAACATCGATAAAAATGTCAGGTGATTGCTGTTGGACAGTGACATTTTAAGATATGTAGTGACAGTGACATTTGGCCGCCTGATTAACACAAATATTTGATAATTTGATAGTTTAATTTGGTTTAATTTTGATATGAATTTTGAGTTCGTTTACCTGATTGTCAAGATAGATTTACACTAGCTGATTAAAATAATGACTCGATAGTGAAAGTTACGATCCCAGTTCCAAAGGGTAAAATTCAATGTTAAATTATTATGAATTTTGACTTTTTGCTTTTCTACAAAAACAGGTTAAAAAATGTTCAGAAGCAGAAGTTGGTTTGGAGGAGGATGGGGTAGGCCAAAAAATTTACATTCCTTAGAACACTTGAAGTACCTGTACAATGTTTTATCGAGAAATCAAACAGTCTCAGAACATAACAGGGGGCTGTTGGTAGAATCCCTTAGGTCTATAGCAGAGATACTTATCTGGGGTGATCAAAATGATTCTTCAGTTTTTGAGTAAGTATAAATTGTGACGCTTCTTATATATATATATATATATATATATATATATATATATATATATATATATATATATATATATATATATATATATATATATATATATATATATATATATATATATATATATATATATATATATATATATATGTATATATATATATATATATATATATATATATATATATATATATATATATATATATATATATATATATATATATATATATATATATATATATATATATATATATATATATTAATTACTACATATGTTTTCAGTTTCTTCTTGGAAAAGAACATGCTGTCATTTTTTCTGAGAATAATGCGACAAAGAAGCGGTGGAGGAAGCTATGTATGTGTTCAACTTTTGCAAACCCTGAATATCCTTTTTGAAAATATACGGAATGAGACTTCCTTATGTAAGTAATTTTATTCTGTCTATGTTAGTATCAGTTAGCTTAATTTGTTTGAATTTTTATGGCATAAGTCTTAAGTTTATGTCTTTGAACTTGAGGAATGATGTAATATCAAATTATATTACCAAAATCTTAAGTTAAGGATAATTATATCTGAGGATATAGACTTAAAAGTCTATATCCTCAGATATAATTGGTAAATCCACAACAAGAATTATATTACAAGACCACTATATCCCAGGATATAGTGGTTTTGTAACAAAGACTGATTATAGGTGACAATATATTCTTCCAAATAGTCTTTTAAAGGATTGGTACATATGAAATATTGACTAATATTGAATCATGGAGAGAGTACTTAATCCGATATATCTAAAACTCAAATCCATGGCGAGGTTTAAGATGGTTAGCTAGATAGATGGATATAATTTATTCATCTAGAAATCAATGTATACAACATTAAACAAATTTATCTGACTAGTCAAAAAAATATTTATATGTTATACAAAGGTATACACACATTAAAAGTTTATTATATTAAAAATATAAAGAAAAAAATACATTACAAGACATACATTAAAAATTTAAAAATTCTTCAATACTGTAAAAAGCATGGCTAACTAGAAATGTTTTTAGATTTTGATGAAAACATTTAATAGTGCCAAGAAGCATCTTATGTGTCACCGATATGCCACTGAATTATTAAAACATTAATGAGCCTTTCAAAATCAACATTTTTCCTAGCCAAGAAACAAAGATTAAATTACAAATTATTGATGAAAATTATAAAATCACAACTAACAGCAAATTGTTTACTTTGTTATTATTAGAATAACTGATATTCTTTAATACATTTCATGTGGATGGCATACATGTGAGCCACATAGTGCCTTTGGGCGGCACACTTGTATGTCATTGATTATACACATTTTTAAGATGTGTTTTTTGTCTGTAGCGCAACAAATGATTTAAATTTACTATCAGGTTGATGAATAAGTTATTCTTCACTTATAATTTATTACATTGGTTTGCAAATATATAAACAACTGAAATATCATTCAAACAAATAAAAATAATGGTTATGCTAGGTAATATTTTAAGAAATATATTTTGAAGTATATAAGATTTTGAATGGAATTGAACAATGGAAGAAAAGTATAATCTGCTCTATTCATAAAAAAGGAGACAATGAGTTGTGTCAGAATTATAGGGCATCTCTTTACTTTGTTTGGGACACAGAATACTCACAAATAACATTAATCAAACACTTCAATCTCTCACTGAAAAAATCATCAGGGAATATCAAGCAGATTTTTGGAAAAATAGATCTACCATTGACCAACTATTTACAGTTAAACAAATACTAGCCAAAGCATGGGAATATGACATGGATGTTTACAATCTCTTTGTAGATTTTAAACAAGCCTACGATTCAATAGATAGAACAATTCTACTTAATATATTGGAAGAATTTGGCATACCATCGAAATTAATACAACTAGTGAAAATGACAATGATAGAAACATAAGCACAGATATGTATTCAAGGACAAATCACTGATGCATTTACTATAACGCAAGGACTGAAACAAGGTGACTAACTGGCTCCAATGCTCTTGAATCTTGTTCTTGAATATATAATTAGACAATTGACAGTGAGCGGAAATAACATACTTACAAACAAATCTAGCCAATTAGCAGCATATGCAGATGATATAAACATTATGAGCAGAACAGTGAATGCAACGGAAGAAACCTACATTGAGTTGAAAAAGAGTGCAGAAACAGTAGGGTTAGCAATAAATACAAATAAAACAAAACTACTCATACAAAAGAGATCAAATAGACCGGCACAACAACACTTTATTGACGATATAGAACATGTGAATAGATTCACATACCTAGGAATGGATCTGGTTGCAAGCAATGAAGAAGAACCGGAAATAAATAGAAGGCTTGTGCTGGAAAATAAAGCCTATTTCGCGATGGGCCACATATTCAAATCCGAATATGTTCCGGGAAAACAAAACTCAGGGCCTATAAAACAATAATCAGGCCCATAGTAAGTTATGGTTGTGAAACATGGATGGTGAGACAGAAATCTGCCAATGCAATAGATGTGTTTCAAAGAAAAAATATTAAGTAGGATACTGTGCTCAATAAGTGAAAACAGCAACTGGCGAATTAGTTATAATAGAGAAATATATGAGCAATATAGCGAACCAACTCTAGCACAATACACTAAACTGCAGAGATTACACAGGACACGTGGTACTCATTCATGAAAATATAATCCCCAGAAAATTACTAAATGCAAGAATGCAGGGAAAAAGACCTGTTGGAAGACCTAAAAAGAGATGGGAACACTAAGTCGATGAGGATGCCAGGAATTGCCTGGGAATGTGTTCATGGAAAAGAACAGCAGTAAATTGAAATGACTGGAGAAGCTTGTCGAAGGAGGCCAAGGCCCGATTTGGGCTGTAGTGCCATTGGATGGATGGAAGATTTTGAATATAATTATTTTACGATCATATGATATTATCTTATGATCTTTGAATCGACAAGGGCAGTGTAAATATTTTTAAAATCATCATTAACGAATGCTGAAAGTTTGAAAAACACACAGTTTGTTGTAAATTGCAATTAGTCAAATATATATAAAAAAAAAATGAATGAAAACTTGGAATCCGGTCCGTTGTGGCTTAAAATTTCTAAATCATTTAAAATGTCTTCCAAAAAATCAAAAAATTTTTCTCGAAGAAGAACTATTACACATCTTATTAGAAAGTGATAGTGAGATAGATGAGTTGAACTTAGTGATGTTTCTTACAAACCTAGTAGATACTGCTTCCAAAACAAAAAAATAAAATAAAAAGAGTTCTGTCATTATACCATATATAAAACCAGGCTTGTGTGTTGGAACATGTTTTGCAAATTTTCACAAGACCTAAAAGTAATTTACTTATGATATATTAGGTTTTTTGTTTGTATATGAATATAACAACATATTTTAAATCTTCTCCCTACAACATACATGTGCCATCCAATTCTGGTTCAAGTACCTTTAATTTTATGCAAAAATTTTTCATTGTTTTACTATAATTATGATTAATAATTACTAATTAACACTTATTAATTATCTTATACGATTTTTATTAATAAATAATTGTCAGTTCAGAGTATAAGTCTCAGGATCTGACATCTGCATTCAACATGGTAACTAACTATTATGAAACAATAACAAAAAACTAAAATTTTGAATTATATAAATGAAAAAGGATAGTGCGAGTGAATAATAAAAGTAAAAAGTAATAGCATATCTCACAGAACAGAAAACCAAAAAAGGTATATCGATGGAAGGCAACTGTATATACGTATATCTGACTATTGGTTGTCTTCAGTATGATGCAGTCAAGTTAGAAAAGGAACATATTAACTTGGGAAAGGATCACTACAGGAGCAATTTGTAGCAGTAGAGTTAGAAGACCCTGATGGTTTCCAGGGCAACAACTAACACTAACCACTAAAGATGAACAATAGTCAGAAATACATATATACGGTTGCCTTCCATCGATATACCTTTTTGGTTTTCTGTTTTGCGAGACATGCCATTACTTTTT